TATAGAGAAAAGCAGGTTTTGGGTGCTCCTCTATACTTATGAAATTATTTCCCTCTGTTTCCTATGTGTTTTGCTAATCTCTTTACGCCCAATGCTTTTCCCACAAACTTTAACCCAAGCCAGACTTGAATAAGGGTGTCACACTGTGGAGGTGAAAGCTAAGTCTGGGGCTTTGACTGGAAAGTCCAGGGATAACATGGCCATGACATGTCTGTTTCAGTAGGAAGATTCTAGCATGATGCCATTATAAAAATGTCCTTCTCTGGGGCAGCTTCATGGCTAGGTAACATTCTGGGACCTTGTAAAAGGGTGGAGATCCCTGTGAGGCACAGTAGACTTCAACCTTGTTTTGTTCAGCTTCTCAGGAATTCGGATGGATATATAGAAGGAAGCATGTGAGGTTTAGTTATTTACAGGCAACAAAATAAGGATTTAAATAGTCTCTATAGACTACTTACAGGTCTAAAGAATAATTATAAAGAGTCTGTATGTATATTGAAAGAATTATTGCTATAAAGAAAGGATCAAAGAGCCTTGCTGTGATAAAACAAAGACCTCTTTTTGCTGTATTATATATTATATATTTTACTCTCTCTTTTTTTTTTTTTTTTGGCTACTCTGTCTCCCTTACTAGATCCTAAACTTCACAAGGATGGTTAATTTTGTCTGTCATATTTTCTACCATATCCCCTTCACACCTAAAACAGTGCCTGGGGCTCAGTAAATATTTGTTAAGTATATGTTTAAAGTATAAATTAATAATACAGGATAATACCTGCATTCAGCTGATAATAAAAGCTAATGTGGTCTTGGGCCTTATGTAGTGTCTCTATTTTTTTAAAAGCAGATTTATTATAAGGAATCAGCTCATGCAGTTAGAGAGATTGGCAAGTGCTAAGGCCGCAGAGCTGGTGGTAGAGTTCCCTCTAAAGGTCAGGCTGCTATGGAACCAGGAGGAGCTGATGCTTTGGTGTGAGAGCCATCAGGCAGAAGAATTCTATCTTGGGAAAGGCCAGCTTTTCATTCCATTCACTCCTTTAACTAATTGGATGAGCCTACCCATAGGGAAAGCAATCTCCTTTAATCAGTCTGCTGATTTAAATGTTAATCTCATCTAAAAATATCCCCTAACAACAACAACAATGCCCAGAATAATGTTTGATCAACTATAGGATCTGAGCAACCCTTGGGCCTGTCAGATTGGTCCCTAAAACTAACAATCACAGTGTGTTTGTCAGACCACATCTGGGAACCCAGAATCATGTGCCAGTTCTGTGTTTTGGAGACCATGCTGTTAAAGCTCAGACAACCATGGCATTTAGGGAGGAGGTGGAAAAGCTGAGAATGCTGCTCTAAAGAGCAAACACGTGATAAGACCCAGTGACACCTTCAAATATTTCTAAGATTGTCTCATAGGAGAAAGAGAAAGGTCTTCAGTCTGGCAGGTATGATTCATGCTAGTGAGTAGAAAGTGAATCTTATGAGTAGTAAGTAGTCTGTCTTGGAATAGTAGTAGTCTTCTTTTAGCAAGGGTTCAACAAATGCCTGCTCAGACCAGGAATCAGAAGTCTCATGCTCTGGTCCTGTTCCCATATTCTCCGGCCTTGAGGGGGCCATTCCTTGAGATTTCTTCCTTTCTATTGTGGAAATTACAGTAGCCTGCTTCACAGGTCCTAAGGATCAAATGGAAACAACATCTGAATAATACCTTCTGTAACTCTGTGGAGGTGGGGGAAGTCTTTGCAGAGCTAGGAGAACTGGCAGTCAGGAGCAGAGTGCTGACTAACCCCTTACCAAAGCGGGAAATTTCCACTGACCTGCAGTCAGGGACACCTCACTGCTGCTGGCAGCTTCGCGGTCTTCTTTTTGGAATGTGTCTGAGGAGTGGCGGTAATTGTTTTCAAATTCCTCAGCCCTGAGTGTATGAAACTTGGTGGTGCTGGTCAGGCAAAGACACTGTCGGCAGGGTTAATGGTTCGTAGCCAGCCAGAGCTGAGCCAGAGCTCTTCCTCCTTGAACAGTCAGCCTCATCGTGGTATTGTAGTTCGCGGGGGACATTCTGAAGCTGTTCCTGATTTATGCCCTTATTTATACTGTCCATTTTCTTGCCTCGAGAGTGTACTGACATTATATATTCCTTCTTTTACTCTGAAAAAAAAATGTGCTCTTTGTATAATGTACTTAAAACCCACGTTTACATTTTATGGCTGTACCATGAAAGAGACAGGAGCAACAGAACACCCAAGAATCCCTGCTAAGGAAACCAGAACTGTCCTGCCAGGGGCACAAAGCCCTCTGCACTGTTGTGGGTTTTTTTTTCCTCTTTAGAGACAGACTTAATAAAAATGCCTTTTTAGTACAAATGCTTTTCAATGAAAAGATGATTTTACAACCAGGTTAAGGTTAGAAGACCAGATGAACACTGTGTGAGGCTCAGTGCTGGTGTCCAGCTGCACTTCAGAGGAGTGATACATAGGTGGGCAGGGTTAGATTTTTTTATGTGCAGGTGACATCAAAGCTAAACATTACATACTGGGTTTGCTTATAAATGGCATCAGGACACTTGGAAATTGTCCTTACCACATTTAACAGCACTGCACAGTGCTAGAATATAATAGGTTTGGAGTAAATGGTAACTGTTAATATAGAGTAGGTTTGGATTAAATGGTATCTATTGTCAGACTCTATGTCTATCCTCACATACTCTATGTCTATACTCACTTCATGGATAGCTAGTTTTGAGTTTCCCAAGCTAGTGCAAACTAGAAAGGCTTTCTTTTCCTTTTTAAAGTTCTAATCAGCCACATTGCTATTTGAGGATTCAGTCTTGGAATCCAGTAGATGTTTGAGTAATAATACTTGGTCAGTTGAGGGATCATCCTCTTCACCACTGCCTCCCTAGTGCGAACTGCCAAAACATAGAGCAGAATTTCTTACGCTCTGCATTGTTGACATTTTGGATAATTCTCTCTGTGCGAGTGTGTGTGTGTGTCCTATGCATTGTAAGATGTTTACTTAAATCTCCCACTTCTAATGTGTATGTGCTAATAGCATTTCATTCCTTTTATGATAATCTTAAAAATGTTTCTAGACGGACATCAGCAAATGTCTCCTAGAGGACAAAATTACCTCTGGTTCACCCATTTATGCTGAAGATTGAAATTTTTAAAAATTTTGCATAAAATTTACCTATGTTTGTAGAAAAATTTAAGGGAGAAGAAACTGAAGAGAACATATTTCATTGTGTTCCACTGCTGTGAGCATTCTAGAAATGGATCACTAGGGAATTTAAGGGTTAAAAACTACCATGAGAGTAGAGGTAGCTCAGATGCCGCACACTGAGCCTGGGCTACAACAGTGCCTTTCCCATTGTGGATCACTTCATATTCATTCAGGGAAGCTTTCTCAAATGGGGCTGAACATTAAAGTCAGCCGGGAGTTTTAAAAATAATGATGCTTGAGCCTTACCCCAAAGATTCTAACTGCTCTGGGATATGCCCTGGGCATCAGAATATTTAGAAATTCTTCAAGTGATTTCACTTTTCAACTATTAATATATCATTGGATCAAACCAGTGAAGCACTCATTGGCCAGCATTTAAGAAATATATGTGTATATATAATTGAATCAAGTACTGTATTAATTCTTAACATAATGCCTAAGTGCTATTTTGTACATATACTAAGGTTGGAGGTGTTGCTGTAAGTGATAGAACCTGCTTTCAAACTTGCTGTTTTGATCTGGCTATTTATAACCCCACCAGAAATGACATGATTTCCTTATGAATAAAATAGTTAATGTGAAATTTAAGGTTAGACAGTTATAGTTGTATAACTATTAACTTTTTTACTCATGTTTTGTGTTTTCTACTTGACATTGTTAAGGTTAGTTATTTTATAAATACTAGTTAATGACATGTATTTCACCAGCAGCTGAGTTTGATTATAGTACAGCAATATGATTTTTCTCTTTTGTGTGTGTTTTTTATGCACCACATTATGTTAGTGCTCCTACAAATTCATGTAACAGTAATATGGTACTTGTGTGCATCAACCTCCAGATTTTATTAGGGTCAGTTTAACAGTCTTTCCAGTATTTATTAAAATTTGAGGGTCTTACAAATAAACTTATGCATGTTCATCTCACTGCTATGAAATATAGGAATGTAGTGGAAGATCAGGAACCTTTAACCATTCTTTTTATCTCAGGGATCAGCAGAACTTGAAAGGACTCTTGCTGGGTGTCTGTTGTGATTCTGTCAGCAGATGCTGCAGCTGTGTAAGATCACTCACCCTGATTTTGAAGTGCATAACAAGCTCATGAGAACACCCACCAGCGCTTCCAAGTTGACTTGCAATACTTGACAGTCAACTTTTGCTACCCGTTGAGGATTGCTTCAGGACCATTCCCTAATGCCAGAATCCGTAGATGCTCAAGGCCTTTATATAAAATGACATAGTACTTGCGTATAAACCTGCGCAGATCTTCCTGTATGCTTTAAATTACTGGATTACTTATAATACCCAATTCAGTGTAAATGCTCTATATAAATAGTTATATTGTTCAGGAAATAATGACAAGAAGAAAAAAATCTGTACATTTTCAGTATAGGTATAAATTTTCTCCCAAATGCTCTCAGTCTGTAGTTGATTAAACCCACAGATGCAGAACCAGAGGCTGTTAGTACTCAAAAGGTTGTCCTTTAATATAGATACATTGGAAAATAGCAGTGATAATTCTGATTACACACAATACATGTTTCAGTCTTCCATCACAAAGCTCTTTCAAAGTTTGAAGGAATGTTTGCCATTAGCTGGGAGAACTAAGCTTGGGATAGTTTCTTGAATCAGCTCCTAAAATGCTGGTTTCCCTGTGTAACAGCAGGAAGACACAAATTGGTTATTGGTGAATTCTTTTGCGTGCCATGACATGGTGTGTGTGACTGTGATTCAGCTTGAGATATCTTGAGCCATGTTAACTATGTGTTCTGTTTCCTCTAGGTGTCCAAGGGTTCTGTGGTCCAGTTTTCATCAGGAAACTTCTCTTTGACAGCAAAAACAGAAGAAAGGAACTTCTCCCATGGAAACGAACATCTATTAAATTGGGCTCAAAAGGAATATGGAGCAGTTACTTCATTTACCGAACTCAAGATAGCAAGAAACATTTATATTAAAGTAGGGGAAGGTAAATTTTAAGTGGCTTCAGTTTATGACTGGTTTATGACAGGTATTTTTCTGTAACCAGGTGATTAGGGGAAAGAATCACAGGATTCCAGAATGCTGTAGTGGGCAAAGAGATGAGGGATCATTTAGGCTTCCTGTCTCTCTTCACCTCCCCTTCTTTATTTTTCTTTCTGGGGAGATTTACCTGGTAATGACCAAGTGAAAATGGGAATTAGTGCCCTTGATAGGGAGTTGGAGCTGTTGTATAGGATGTAGAAGGCGCCTGTGCACAGACATCAGAAGTAGAGGGTAAAAAGTAAAGAATGTGGTAAGATGATGATTATGAAATTAAGGAGTTAGCAATTGGGTCAACAGATGAGTTTTCTGTTACCTGTCTTTCTACATGTATTTGAAGCCAGTACCAATGTATAGTTGAAACATCATTTTAATTTGGGCAATATCAAAGGAAAGTGCTTAAATATATTTTAATATTAATGCATATGATAAGTTATTGGAGAAATGAACTACATGGCCTGGAAAAGAGACTGCCCATTTTAATTGCCTTGCAGACAGGCTTAAATAGCCAGCAACCCAATTCTGGAAGAATATTGTTTTTTATAGAACATTTTCATCATTATTTTTAGTTGAGTATATTCGGAACTGCCACAAGTTTACAAAGCAATAACTCTTGTGAATGAGTCCATGTTAGTCAGGTGACTGTGAGCACTGTGTTTTAGGTCTTCACCATACAGTGCTATCTGGTGAATTCTTTAGCAGTTGTCACCTCCTCCACAGATAGCATGGCAAGAAAGTGAGGGTCATTGAATGCTCAATCCCTGCTCTTTTTTGGATCAAGACTGTTTTAAGTGCATATGAAACAGATAGAGCAAAGGTGAACAGCAACAGTAGAGTGTGTGCTGCTTACTGAGGCCACATCAGGGCTTTCACATGCATCCCACTTAACCCCACAGTAATCCCAGGAGGGAGACCTGATTTCTACCATTGTACAGAGGGCTTAGTGGAGGGTTAAGTAAATTGGTTAAAATCCATTATTACTAGCAAGTGGAAAAGCCAGATCTGAAACCCAAGTTTCCTGACTCTGCAATCTAATAATGATTGTTGCCTGATGGTAGATGTTGAGTCTTCACCAAATAAGCATAATCTGAAAATAAAAGTGGACTGCTGGATGGAAAGACTTGTTTAATTGTGATGAGAGGAAGAGTTTTAAATGAGAGCTAGGTTTTTTCAAAAGATTTTAAATTTGTTACCAGGCTATTATAGTAGTCAGGTTGCAAATAACAGATGGTCAAGTCCCTCTGAGACAAAATGAAAACTCTTTTAATACAAGTTCTAATCCTTGGCCAATGGTCTGCATTTCTGAAGCAGAATTCTAGTAGCATGAAAGAATGTTGATTACGCCTTGGAATTTGTCAGAATAAGAACATTTGCTATAGTAACATTCAGAATATTGGGCTCTGTTTCTTTGATAGTACACGGATTTCTCTGATAGTACACGGATTTCTAAAAATCACCTGCCTTGTAAGCAGGGCTGATTAACTTAGGTGACTAAGCTACACATTGGTTAGGGAAATGAATTTTAGAGACCTGATGTCCAGCCCAGCAAAACACTGGTTAACTTCTTGGTAATTCCTGTGGAGCCCCTGGAATTTGTCTCCAGCTCTAGCCAGGTCTAAGTCACTGGGCTAAGCCATGAAAGCATGCAGTGGGAATTGGAGGTTCCTTGGTTAGGTCGGTGGATCACAGACAGTGTCATCAAATGTCACCCTCAGTGAGGTTCCTGGGCCAGCCTCATGAGCTAGTTTTCCAGAATCTGATGTGTCTCTACCTTCCTTTCACCCCCACTCCCCATCCAAGCCATGAGCCTCCCCATGCCAAGTCTCAGTTCTCAAAGTCTAATTCCTACCCCAGTAGCAGCAGCGGCAGCATCACCTGGGAGCTTGTTAGAAATGCCGTTTGGGGGTGGGATCAGCAGTTGTTCTCATGAGCCCCCCACCCCACCCCGACTATGGTGCTTGCTCAAAGTTTGAGAGCTGTTCTAACCTGTCTGGGTAGAGAAGAATGTTAGCTCTTACACCAACTGGTCTCTGTTACTGCCAACCCCAGAGCTGCAGTTTCCAGAGCAGAAAAGTGGGGCATTTGCATTACTTCCTAAGCTAATTCCTGCTCTGAGTGTATCTTTTTGGTTCTCAAAGTCATTTGTTGGTCTTTCTTCAAATGCAAAAAAAAAAAGTACTCTTCCTCCCCACCCCCAGACTTATTACATTTCTCCCTGGGGATTCCCCATTGTGGTTTTCTTTCTACTTGGCACTTTATGTAAGTTTTGATGCCAGGCATGTGGAAAGTTATTTGTGGAGGAAAAAACCCTACATACACAACAAAAAATGATCAGCTTATTGAACTTAGTGACAATGGTATCTAGGACTGGAACCCTTAATAACAGCAGCTTTTGGCCCAGGGATATGGCTCAGTGGTACAGCATCTGTCTGGCAAGTACAAGGTCTTGAGTTTGATTCCTGGTACCAGAAAAACAAAACAAAACAAAAACCCCCAGAAACTTTTGAACAATGAAACCTTTTCTACTGGCTTACCAACATGGGTGAACTTTGAAGTCTCACGTCATTTGTGAATTCAGGAAACCTATACTGTGTGCCTATTACATGCCAGTGACAAGCTAGGCACGCTTGTGGACTGGAAATGCAGGCCACAGTCCCAGGAGGGGTCTATCTCTTGAATTCTCTGTCCCATATGCACACTTGATTCCCAATTAAATCTCAACTCTGCTGTTCCAATATCATTTTCCATCCTGTGATCTGGGGGAGGCATCACAGGGCTGCAGCTGTAGGGTGTGCATACCTCATCTGCACATCTGGCAAAAACCTTCAGCAGATGTGAAGGAAGGCTGCTTGAGCAGCTCCAGTTGGGGAGCCTGTTCTCTCTGAGGGGGTTTTGGAAGAGAAAGCAGAGTGCAGAGCCAATGCTCTCTTGCAGTGAGCCTAAAAGCAGGGCCCTTGTGAACTGTTCTGTTCTTCTCCGTTCCTGGAATGGTGGTGGGATGCTGCAGTGCTTGAAGCTGTGCGGCTGCTGTGTGTGCTGCACTTTAGTATGGGAGAGGCTACACAGATGGCGGTGAGGGACACTATTAGCCCAATCTTGGAACATCCTGGGTTGTTGATTCCTTACCATCAGGTGAAACTTTCAGTGGATGTGGACTCTGGCAGCCATTCTTTAAAATGAAATAGGCAGAAATCTGTTTCATAAAAATGCCAGGTCTCTAACTACCTCTTCTGAAAAGTTTGCAACACCTAGAACTTCCTTGACACTGGTCCCTGCTGTCACGCTTCTAGCAGTCTCCTCAGGTTCTGATTAAACATTTAAACCACTGGATGGAAACCCCATTGACTGCAGTGCTGTGTAAATGGCACGGGCTCTTGAGGAGTGTCTTCAGACTCTTGGTACCTTCATTGCTTTCCCCACTGGAGGTGGTGAACAGCCCTCAGCTTGATGATGTTTGTAAAAACCACCCTGAAAACTGTAGGGCCATGTAAACAGCAGTTATCTGGGTCAAGAAGTGACAAAGAGTAAAAGTCTGCTCTCCCTGTTTATCCCAAACATTTACCTTTAATCTACAGAGTATAAAGTGCTGTGAGAAATAAATACAGGGGATGATTAGTGTTACATGTGTGGACTAGAAAATTAATTGGGTAACTAGTTTTTCTATGAATTTAACTTGTAAATACCTGGGGAGAAGTATATTTGGGGATTGGATATATAATGGATTCAGTGCTGAGTATGCTAACTGTGAAATACTTGTTAGGATTTTAGGTGGGAGATGGCTTAGTAGAAAGTTGGCAAGTCTAGAACTCAGAAAAGGAGTTTTGCTCTAGATACAAGTGAGAAGGAGCCATGACTGAGATCATTTTGGGAATGTAAAAGACAAAGGGCTGAGAAAGGATCTCATGTTCCTAACCTTGGTTTACACTGGGCTAAACTATGGAACTTTAAACTAACACTGCCTGTGCCCCAGCTTTAGGTTCTGAGCCACGTTACCCAAAGTGAGGTCCTAACAAGTAGATTGTGGCATGTACCAAAGGTTGTGGGGCTACCACAGTGAAAGAAACTCAGATATAGATCAGTGTAGATGGATGAAGTAAGAACGATCATGGAGAACAAGCACCAAAAGGATGTAGACATAAAGAGCCCATTAGAATTGCTTAGCAGGAAGTCACTGGTAACCTTTTGGGAAGCATTGCAGAGCGGTGGCTGAGGAGGTCTGGTGCTTCCTTCAGGCTTGTGGGGCCTTGTGTTAAGCTCGCTCAGTTTCACCATCACATCTTCCCTTTGAGCCTAGTTCTACGCAGCTCAGTGTTTGACAGGTCACTCTGTGCTTCCTTACTTTCAGATCAAGTGTTTCCTCCCACTTGCAACATTGGGAAAAATTTTCTGTCACTCAATTATCTCGCTGAGTACCTTCAGCCCAAAGCAGCAGAAGGGTGTGTGATGTCCAGCCAGCCCCAGGATAAGGAAGTACACATCATCGAGTTAATCACCCCCAGCTCTAACCCTTACAGGTGAGCAAAAATGTGTGTATTTCTTCTGAACTGAAACAAGATGAAAGTAAAAAGGAAAAATCTTTCCTGATTCATAGGTAGGGAGGGGTGCAATGCCTGTGGTTCACAGAAGCTGTGAAGAGGAAGTAGGCAAAGTGCGATAGCTTATTTTTTGCATGTCTCTAGACTCTCTGTGGTCCAGAGGAGTTCCTGAAGCCTGTTCTAAATTTCTGGGTATTAGTTATAGGAAACAGTTACTCTCATTCCATCATGATTCCCTTTGACTGACGTTTATCCATCTTGAGAAAATTACAAAATGTGCCTTATTAACATAGTTTTCAGTTTAGTAACATTCTGTTTTGAATAAAGTTCTCTTCATAGTCCTCAGAGCATTTACATACGCAGAACTGTTTGCTTGAAAGTTGTGTGTGCAGGAGTGTGTGTGTGTGTGTGTGTGTGTGTCCGTCCTGGGGAGTGGGGAGTATGTGCCTGCGTTGGGGAAAGGTTCTTCATGGTGACATACCAAGGAACCATTAGATACAACTAGCCTCTCTCTTATTTTCTTTTTTTCTGTGTCAGTTTCCTACCCTTGGATTGGAAATTAGACTCTCCCTTTGAGAATAATTAGAAAATTTTTAAAAGAAACAAAAATGGAAAAGAAAGTTTTTTCTCCCATTTCATATTTCATGAGGACTAGTGATTTAGAAATTTAACTTTATATTGCGGAGGAATTTTAAAATTAATTTTATAATTGTTTTTGTTTCAAAAGTGAAAAAAAAAGCTACATATCAGTTTTGGTAAGATTTCACTTAGTCTCATGTGAGGAATTAGTGGAAAATTAAGAACGGATGGGACTAGAAACAATCTGGCCAGTATACTTCAGTATTAAGCCTAAGGCCTCATGGGGGATACCATTCACTTTACGCTTCGTAAGTATGTAAAACCAAGATAGACATAAAGACTCTTCCCTTAAATTCAGAATGACAGAGATGTTATTGTTTAATAAAAAATCCTCTTTTATGTTAATTCTTAGAAAATGAGTTGTACTCATCAATTTTCTTGCAATCACTAGGTTGACCATCTGCTTTCTTTATTGTAATAACAGTATGTCCAGAAGTTTGAGATATGATTCTTCACAATTGTTAATGGCTTAAGCAAGCCTTATGTAGGTCAGATTCTTCAGCCCGAGTACCTTCAGCCTTTTACCTCTTATTTTATTCTGAAGTTTCCTAATTATTTTACCACCCTGCCTCCCTCCTCCCGGTCACCAGCTGCCCTCCTCACCAGACTGCCACTCGCTTGGCTTCTTGATTTGAAGGAATCTGAGTGTATAGCATGTTGGAGATACACAACGAAGTGGTGTCATAGGTTGGAAAACCATTGACTGTGCTTTAGAAGTAAACTATTCTGGCTTGTTCAAGTCCATTTCAAACAGTGGCTGCATTAAATAACCACCTTTTTCCCCTCCCAAAGAAGAGAAAAACTTGAGTGGCTAGTAATCAGCAGGCATGTATTTCTATTGTTATGTAAAACCATTTTGTTATGTGTGCAGTAACAATCTGTTTTGCACATGTCATTTGCCTGGGATGGACTCCAGCTTTTTAATCAACTGGCCAGACACTGGAAACATGAAGACTTGGAAGAGGGGAGATAGCTGCAACGTTCTGGCATTGAGGTCCTTACTTTGCCTTTGTTTTCCATTCTCAGTGCCTTCCAGGTGGATATAATAATTGACATAAGACCTTCTCCAGAGGATTCTGCTGTGGTCAAAAATCTCATCCTGATCTTGAAGTGTAAAAAGTCTGTCAACTGGGTGATCAAATCTTTTGATGTTAAGGGAAACCTGAAAGTTATTGTAAGTTGTTTGAATTTTTTTGTGTCTTGATGAATGGCAGTAAACTGTGCTTATGAGTGTTATTTTTGTAAAGGTTCTAGCTCTTTTGAATCTCTGAACTCTCTCAGGTTTTACTTTTATGAAAGTACTCTGGTTTCTCTTGACAAGGGGGTTCCGTGTGGTGATTGAAGTGTGGTCTCTAGGGCTAAGGCAGACCTGGGTTTGAGTCTTAAACGCTTCCATTTACAAATTGTGACCTGGACAAGCCCTTTTGCCTTTCTGAACCTTAGTTGCTTCATTTGGGAAATTCCTGAAATGCACTTTCTAGACATAGTAAGTGTAGAATAATTAACATTGCTCAGCCTTTTATGGTTGAATGTCCTGTAAGGGAACCATATCCTGAATATCAGACTTTATTTGGGGTCATGTACTTAGGGAAGATTTGGAAAATTGCACTGACCCCTGCTAACATCATAGACTTTTCTTTTGAGTTAAATACTCTGTATCAGCATGAGTTTTTTGCTTGCTGCAAACTCTTAGGGCTGGAACACTGATAGAAGAATCCAGGAACTTTGAGTATGCTCCATCCTGTTCCTTAAACATCTTATTTCATGCAAATCATGCACTTAAGAGGCTTCACTGGTTGGCATGATAGGATGCAGCAGCTAACTTCCTGAAAAGTTGAATGTTGAAGTAGATACAATAAATCTTACCTCAGATGTGTTTAGGAAATGGCTATTTTTCATACTAGTGGAGTGAATAATATGGAAAGTTAAACAGTAAGTCCTTGTTTTTTTTTTGTTTTTTTTTTGTTTTTTTTGTCTTTTTCCTTTTTATCGGTACCGGGGATCGAACCCATGACTGCCTGCTTGCAAGGTAGGCGCTTATGCCGCCTAGCTAAATCCCCAGCCCCAAGTCCTTGTATTTTAAAACTTTTTTTGCATCTCTTTTGTAGGCTCAAAGCTTTATGCATTATTTTTTTTTGAAAATATTTAACCAACTTCTGTTTCACCTATATTCAATCAGTTGGAGTGAATATTATGCTTTAAATATGTTAGGAGAGGGCCATCTTTGGTTTTGATATTCACTCATGCATGGCGCTTTCCTTGCAATATAGTAGGAGCAAAGCCAATCGTTTCCTAGGCAACATCATGTAAAGACACTTGTGGTAGGCAGCAGGCAAAGCCAGGAGCATGCACATCTTAATTTTAAAGTAATCTTTTCTGGTTGCTGTGGGTTTCTGCATTTTTTTCTTTAACTTTGTGAGGGTCCCAATAACTCATTATGTGTAACAGTGATATATTAATTTGGTGTCAAGCACAAAGCCCAGCCGTGATTTTTCTGAAGTCACAGATACTTTTATTGCCTTCCCTGGCATGACACACAGGGTGTTGGTGACCTGGGATGTCTCCTGATTTTGCTGCCTGGCACACCAAGCAAATGTTTTTAATTTCAGAATAACAAAAACAGGAAAAGGAATCATGCTTTGAAAGGCAAAAAAACATACGGTACATTTTAATTCCCAGCCAGAGTTCTTGTATAAATATTCTTTCAGCCCTGACCCTTCAGTGGCTCTTTCTCTCCCTGAGTATATATGCCTGGTCCGTGGCAGCCCAGAGTTCACTGGGAATGTCCCATCTCTCATATGAATCAGAAAGGTTAGAAATGAGATCGCTCATCCCAAGAAAGATCTGTTTATATTCCTCTCCTTGGCTGTACTCCTGTTCCAGGCCAATTTTGGACAATGCATGACAACATTACTAAACAATTAGGTAATGTTTCATGATGTTCTTTTTTTCCCCCTCCCAATCAGTTTCATGCTTGGTGATTTCCTAATTCTGTCTCAGATGTGAATTCTGACTAGGCTGTAGAAAAAAGAAAGGTACATAGTAATAAAAAGATTTAAGTTACTACTTAGAAATGTTTTATAGAGACCTTATTTCTAGTATTTTAAGAACCCTGGCTCTGGGTCAGACAGTGCTAGATTCAAGGCTCATCTCTGATTGTTGTTATCCCTAGCAAATATTGGGCAATCTAATTGAACACTGAATCTGTTTACTCACCTGTTAAATAGGTATAATGCGAGTACTTTCAGTGGTTTAACTGAGTTCATTTGTTTACTCATTCATTTATTTATACAACAAGTATTGGTTAAGGCCTGCAGGATATTTTGTCTAAAGTACTGGACATAATTCCTGTACATCTTGAGTTCTCTGTAAGTCTCTGGTTCTCTTTCCCTAACACAGGAATAGCAATACCTCTCTCCTTATTTTAGAGGATTAAATATGATAATATATGTAAAGTGTCTCACATGGTGCCTAGCAATAAAAAAGGGGCCATCTTAAAGACATTAAGGACATATCTATAGAAACAATTAGATTATTTCTCTAAACAAGGTGAAAACAAAGAAAGATATCTACTATAGTAACCATAAGGAGCTTGCTGGAGTAACTTTAAATAAGAGCACATTAAACATGGATGCCTTGTGCGTAGGTAGGGAGAATGTACCCTTCCGATGGCAAAATGGTCCAAAGAAATCAAAAGGTTGTGCTGGGCAAGAATGGGAAGCCTGAATGTATCCACACTGTCGCATCTAGCTCTGGCTCTTTCCTCAAGTTCCCTATGGTCAATGCTTAATCACTTCCAAAGCGAGGGGGGAAAGAAACAGAACAAAAAAGAAGAGATCAAGTAAACCTGGTCTTATACTGTTTTATATGGCCTTAGGATTTACAGATTGGCAGCAGACAGCATATTCTTAGAAAAGTCATTTTTTAAAATCAGCAAGTGTAGGCACTACTCTCTTTAGCCCACCTTTTCCCAACATCCCACGTAAATTCTGATGCAGATATGGGGAACAAAGGGTAGAGGCACTTAGACTTTTTAACCATGCTTATCATCTTTGAAGATGTGACTGTGGAAGATGGTGGTGGCATTTGGAGGCCTGATTGAACTCCCTGTTACCTCCAATATGATTGAAAAGAGTGAAGAATTTCTGCAGTACTGAGAGCCAGCTTGCCTACCATTGTCCCAAGCCTTGCTGCTTTATAAATGTGTGGGCAGATATCTAGTTTTTAAAAAGTTCTTATCCTTAATCAGGTACTGACAGCTAGATGTAATGTGGAAAGAGGTAGGCAGATTATTCCATATTGGTATAAATGGGCCAATGGTAGTTATAATGATAATATTCTCAAAATGTAGTATTTTCTCAGCTGTCCAGCAACGTACAAGACCAGGGCAGATGAGGCCACGCAGCATTGTTTAGACCAATGCTGTGATTCTAGCCAATCAAAATGATGTGCTGCTTTGAAAGGCCGGAAGAAGCTATGCTTAAGAAATTACTGGTGACCAAATGAGTAAAACATTCTAGCAACAAAGTGGATCCTGCTTTACCCTATTTTAGTTTTCTTTCTTTTCTTCGTTCTCTTTTTTTTTCTTCTCCCCTCCCCCTTCTTCCTCTACTTCCTTTCCTTTAATTTCTCTAAGGAGTTTTTTCTGAATCAGAGCTAAACTATTCTGAATCTTTGAAGCTGAGTATCCAGATGGCTGCAGAACTTGGTTAAAAGTCCATCTGGTTCCTTTATGTGCATTGGTTGTGACTGGTCAGTCTGGCAGTCTTCCTTCAGATAAGCACTTTGGGTAATAGAAAAACAGACCGGGTGAGATCCTTTAAGCTTTGAATTGAAGTGTATGTGTCCTCAGCCAATCTCCCACAACCAAAGAGGCCGAGAGAATTTAGAGCCTGTGAATCTTTTATGGTTTTACAGTGGGAAAGGATTAATATTTAGTCATGTTAGGGGCAAACAGAATGGGAAACAAATGAGGAATTTAGAGAAAATGCTGCATATATGCAGGAGAAAATCATTGGGCATGGAAATTACAGTGGCTTTTATTCAGCATGAAATGCTATAATCTGCACAGTGGAAGGGCTTCCCAGCCCTGTTGGAGCAGTTGTTGAAAATGTGTCTTCCCATTGGGGAACTCTCTGCAGCACTCGGCTCCCACTGCTGCTAACAAAGTTACTGTTACAGGGGTCAGGGAAGATGACTGTTTCTCCCTTCCAGGCCCTGGTTACTAAGAGTCCCATTTATGACTCTTGTTTTACTTTTGTAACTGATTACACAGTGAAACTAAATGTTATGGTTTCCTTATTTTGCTGAAAAAAATTGACACCTAGCGGATAACTTTAATTAACATTTTAGAATATAAAATGTAGGCATATTTATTTAATAGAATTGACAAACATAAAGGATGCTAAGATGATCATAAATTATAGATGAAATATAAATACTTGTTGTTTAACTATATGGAATTTAATAAAGTTGGGATAGTCTCCCCAGTGAAGTCACTAGGTTGTGCCATCTTTCGTTTAAATACTGGCACAAAATTAAAAGCCCAGACCTTTTTTTTTGTGGGGACAGGATCATATAACATGTAGACCTATATACTTTACACCAAATTTTAAATAAATAAAAGAGAATTTGGTATACATATTCAGTATTGTGTGCTAATAAAGTAACCATTAAACTGCTTCTCTAGGGATGGACTAGGTATATTTAGCATGTGGCTATTTATGTAGCTGTCACTGGATTATTTTTATCAATTAAGTGACCCAAATGCTGTGGTCACACAGCATGTTTAGGTGTTTCTACATCTGCTGTCAAAGGTTTTTCACGTCAGTGTTCTTAGCCCAAGGAAAATAAGGATCAAAAGAATAAATAATCCCTCATATGCAATGTTATTGTTATTTGAAGTACTTTCTGATTTTTTGAGTCAGGAGTAAAATTTTGCTGTTTTTTTTTTGTGGTTGTTATTTTATTGAAGTTTTTGTTTGTTTGTTTAGGCTCCCAATAGTATTGGCTTTGGGAAAGAGAGTGAAAGATCCATGACAATGACTACATCAATAAGAAACGACATTCCTTCTACACAAGAGAATCTGGTGAAGTGGGCTTTGGACAATGGTTATAGTCCAGTGACGTCATACACAGTGGCTCCTGTGGCTAACAGATTTCATCTCAGAGTTGAAAACAATGGTAAGTATGACTTTTAGGGAGGTTGTTGTGTGAAAAATACCAACTGATGTTTTTCTGTGTAGAACTGTTACTTTAGCTTGAATGGTGCTGTTTTCTGGTTGTACATTTTAATAATTTCTTTGACTGCTTTCTTCCAAAAGATGTATAATTATCTAGAATCATGACAGATTATTTTAGCAAAATTATGATAGATTTTCATAACAGTTGATTGTGTCAGAAAATTTGTGGTAGATCATATTTATTAGGACTAAATCTTTCAGAGGTACCTAAATGATCACAGATGGCTGAAGATCCAGATGGGTTAGGACTGCAGGAAAGTTCATGATCAGAGGCTTAATCTTATAAGAAAATGGTCAGAAGGACTCATACTTGGGCTTTGTTACCCAGGGGGAAGGACAGAGTTGTCACTCACATTGATGGAGCAGAAAGCAGAGGCTCAAGTTTTCCAGAATATCCAGTTTTACAACTAATGTCACTCAAGCTCCAAGTTTTCTGATATTCAGACCTGTTCCTTATCCCTGGTCCCACTGAGTACAGTGCCCGTAGAGTGGAGGTTACAAGTATAGGTTCAAATCCCAGTGCCACCATTTATTCACTATTTGGAGAGAAGTTGTATAATTTTGAGCCTCAGCTTTCTCTTGAGTAACTAGGGGGAAAATAATAGCACCTGTCTTACAAGGTCATTGTAAAAGTTTTAATGTACAAGTTAAAGACCCTCCAAAGCTATGACTTCTTTGGGAGTCATACAACTGTAGCATCATTTTCAAAAAGATTATGTTGAAGGAGAGTTCAAGTTCATTGGTCATCTTCAAGACCAACCTCCACTGATTTGGATTTGACTTCAGATATACATCAGGTGGCCTTAAGTGAGTAGAAAGTAGGGAATACTGGGGAAATAATTTTCCTATAAACTGCTGAAAATATAGAATACTGAATATAGCTTGTATGGGAATCTCTCTCTCTCTTTGAAGTGATAAGTGCATCTTAGTAGCTCTTTATTTTTCCATTAGATACTGAGTTCTAAAAGCATGGGAAACTCAGTACCTGCTAGAATTTAACAATTAAAAAGGAAGTAGAAAAATAATTTTAAAATACAAAAATTGGGGCAGAGAGTACTGTTGATGGTACAACGCTAGCCTATCATGCTCAGGGCCCTAAGTTTGATCCCCAGAAACCCTAAGAAATAAGTAAATAAAAGTATTACTATTGTTTCAGGAAATCTTTTTAAATTTGTAAATTCAAGGAAAGTAGTCTAATGGCTTTTGAATGGAATAATATTGCCCCCCCCCAAGTTGAGTCACAGATGTTTAGCCTTTTTATTTATATATTATAGAAGTAGCTACCAAAACAGTTTCTCAATCTTGGCTGTATATTTGCAGTCATATAGGGAGCAGAAAATGTGTTGATTATGTCTCAAAGAGTCTTAAGTTTTAATTGGCTTGGAGTATAACCTGGGCATAGTGATTTTTCTTAAGCTTCAAAATTGATTTTAATGTATATCCAAGGTTAAGATACAGATATAATGCAACTCCCTAACTTTTAAAAGTTGGAAAATTGAGGCATAGAGAAGGCCAAGAGCCACCCAATTAATGGAGCACCAAGACTAGAATTCAGCCTTGCTTTTAAACATTGCTTTTTAAATATAATTTTACACTGCCCATTCTGTGCTAATTCCTCCTGCTCTGCCTCTAATCATGATGATTGTGGCCTGGCATCCCACACTGATGATGATTTGCCTTCTTCTGTTGCCACAGAGGAAATGAGAGATGAGGAAGTCCATACCATCCCTCCTGGGCTACAGATCCTGCTGGACCCAGCCATACTGCCTGATCCGGAGAACCCACCCTTCCAGGGAGGGGTTGGCGGAACTGGAGGTCTCCCCTTTCCTTTCCCTGATATCGCCAGGAGAGGCCGGAAGGAAGGGGGAGAAGATAGGATACCTAGGCCAAAGGATTCTGTCATCCCCAGTACACAACTGTTTCCTGGTCCCAGAGAACCGGAAGAAGCACAAGGGAGCATGGATATTATCCCATCAGTCAAATGTGACAATGAAAAGATGATTGTGGCTGTAGAAAAAGATTCTTTTCAGGTCAGTGCAACCTGTTGACAGAGTGTAATGGGAGAGAGAGGCTACCTCCTTTCCCATCTTGGCCCATTCTGTGTGCATGCGCTCTCTTTTAGTTTGGAGGCTGAAGCCTTGGTATGGTTTTTAGTTGGATGGTCCCACTTCCGCTTGGCTGCGCGTCTCACCTGGTTCCTGTTGTTCTCAGTGAAGGGGAGGGGGATTCCAAAGCTTTGTACGTCAATATTTAGCTATTGAATTTCCAAGGCCAACAAACACAATTCTTGGGCTGTTCACAGGTGGTCAGCTGGGAAGAGGTAAGTGGGGGAAGGGGCAGGATACAGGCCTTCAGCCACCTTTACATGGAAGGTCAGGCCACTTGTGTTCGCTGTGCACAGAGAACTGCCTGTGAGCCTTTCAGGATATCTTTGGTGGTTGTTTTTCAGACCAATGGCCACCCAGGGATGGAGCTCACTCTGTTGGATCGTTCCTGCAAGGCCAAGGTGAACAGCACACACTTCATTCTGGAGTCTCCGCTGAATGGCTGTGGAACGCGGCACCGGCAGTCAGCCTCCCATGGTGTAGTTTACTATAACTCTGTGAGTGTTGTCCACAACAAAGCTTTTCCCTTTTCCAGACAATTGCTGAGTGTTCCCTTAAGATTAGTCTTCTCTTTCTATGAAAGTGACATGCCTAAATAAAGCCAGGTGTCAGTTCTTAACAAAATATGGAGCACCTTCACCCTGAGCTCTTAATATGCTTTATAGGTGGGTCTTTAGGAGTTGGAAGGTCTTCTTTTCTCAGCTGGAGTTGTAGTGATCTCACCCTCTTTCTCTTCCCATCTCCTAATGGTAAAGGATTCACTAGCAAAGTGATTATGACTTCTTTCTAAGGTAATCTGAACCATCAAATGGCCTTTAGAGGACCGTGTCTTTACAGGATAAAATCCACACCCTTGAGCTACATATGAGAAGCTCTAACCAAATGCATGATCTCTCTGTCTTCATTTGGGTCTTATCCAGAAGTGAGAGGGTTTCTCCCTTCTTCATAAAGACCCAAAAAGAGAATTTAAAATCTAGAAAGAATTATCAAGTCACCTGCTTCACTTCTAGGAAAAACACTACATTTAGAAGTTACCTGGAGAAAGAATCTATAGATTTCTCATGATAACCATAACAATAACTAACTTTGTAGCAATCTTTCTTGTCACTTCATCTAATTTTTTTTCTTCAGTTTAAATCTGTTCTCTGAGAGTAAAGACTGTGGTAGGCAAAGGCATTTTAGAAGGACTCAAAACATGAACTCTAACAAGAATTTCAAAGTACTAATTTTGTAATAGGATTGTACTTTCAGTGATAAGAATAAGGCTCAGACATGCTGCGTCTACGCTGGCACAGAGTATGTGTCTGTCTCTGAGCGCTTACTCCTGTGTTGACATAGGAGGGGTGGCTGGGCTTTTGGTTCTTTGCCCTGCCAAGCAGCCAGTAACTTGACCCAGTCTAAAGAAGAGACTGGCGATGGGAGGCTCTGGCCAGTGAGGTATATGGCATAGTTCTTCTGTGGGCCCGTGTTTATTATTCCTCTGAGAAGCTCAGAATATTAGAGCTGGAAAGTACTCTGAGATGATCTCATTCAATTTCCTCATTTCACAGGTGAGGAAATTAAACTCTGGAGAGTTAAAAGACTTGCTTAGATTCAGGTGACTAGTTAATGACAAAGTTAGGATTGAATCCAGCTTCCTGATCTCTTATTCAGTAATCTTTCTTCTGGCCTAGCAAATACCCATTTGTTATACAAATAATTCATTTATTAACCTTTGATTTCTTGTTAATGCAACACTAATTTTCTTGCAGTTATCTAGTGTTTCCTAGTGGAGTGAATGTCGTATATTAATGCTGTACTTGACTTTTGGTATTTAAGAACTGATGTCCAAGTTAACACCAGTAACAGGGTATGATAATCTGTTTAAGAACAAAAAATATCAATTGCTTTAGGAAAGGAAGTCATACGACCTTTTAAAGATGCTTCTTTAGCATATATTTTCATGTACTTTATTATGATTATAGAATAAGCAATAGCCTGGGTACTTGTTTCAATTGCATCAGTACTTTCTTTTGAGGACCTGGTAAGAGAGCGAGTTTTTCTTCATATTCTTCCTATTCTGTTCCCTTTGATGAATATTTTGTTTTAATTATCACTATTTTTTGTAATATTTTAGGATTGCCGTATATTTTTGTTTTGTATCACGTTCAGAATCTAATAATACTAAGTAGAGAGAAATTAGGATTTTATTTGTAGAATCATGCTCTTGACAGATCTTCTCCCTGTTACTTAGAACTAATCCAGAAGCAATGATTTTAGCCAGTGTTAAGATAGATTATTCTGAAAAAGAACATATTCTTTTCTGCATCTGTACACCATACAGAAAGATACTGGGCAAAAGAGGAAAGATGAGATTGACTCCATTATAAACCTTAGGTTCTTTGTTTCTAAGTGAAGCCAGACTTTCTGCAAATTTTAAAGGGAACAAATAATAAAAGCTGTTTGCAAGAGCCAACTCTTAGTATTGCTTAGAGTTTTTAAGTAAAGGCCCAAAGGAAAAGCCTTCCCCCACAATATAAGCTTGGTGACAATCCCATTCAACTGTTTCAGTATATAGTCTTCTCACTCTAGGAAATAATGTATAATTTTTCAATGGAGTTATCAAATAAATATGTACTTTTCATCAGGGAAAATAAAATTTTAGTTTAGATATTTTCTAAAACTTGTATTGGTCAGTTTTTGTAACTTTGTAGGTGAAATCCTTAAAGCTTGTGGATTTTTTATGTTGAAGTCAGATTTTAAATTCATGTCTGAATTGGTACATAGGTATTTATATGAAGTAGACCAAAATGCCTGTGGTTAGGGGTTTTTTGTTTTGTTTGTAACAATGACTATGCTTTCTTTGCCTTTTAGATTGTGCTACAGGTTCCATTGCCTGGGGATGGCAGTGGCTGGCCAGATGGTTATGAAGATTTGGAGTCAGGTGATAATGGATTTCCAGGAGATTTAGATGAAGGAGATGCTTTCCTCTTCAGCCGTTCTGAAATTGTCATGGTATGTATTGGCTCTTAGTAGGTAGTTCATGAACAGTGTTGTCCATTTACTTGGCTTTCACTAGGGACTATCAGAAAATATAGTTGTATGTTAGGGGCCAGAGCTTATAAAGCTACAGCACCTTCTTCCTTCCTGTGAAGGGCTTTATCTTTTTCTGTGGATTTTTTTTTACAGTTTAATTGTAGCTTGAGGCAACTGAGGAATCCCAGTAGCTTCCAGGACCAGCCCAATGGAAACATCACTTTCAACATGGAGCTGTACAGCACTGACCTGTTTCTGGTGCCCTCCCAAGGGATCTTCTCTGTGGCAGAGAATGGACACATTTATGTTGAGGTGAGACCACTAACCTGAGCCTTGGGCTTTCAGCTCAGCTCCGAGTTGCAGTTCTGAGACAATAGCTAACGCTCCTGCCGCGGGCCTCTTCCTTCCTCTCCTCATGGTCCTCCCTGCCTGGAGTGACGGCTTGGCTCTGAAAATGCTTCAGGTTACTTTCTAAACAAGATAGGAAAATTCAGTATTTAACACATTATGCTAAATGGAGAAAATATTTGGTAGATAAATGTTAAAAATAATAAGAGTAGAGTATGAATTCTGGTAAAGCTCTGCGCTTGCTTTGAGGCTGGTATTTAGAACAATAGTTTAGAAGCAAGCGGCCCTGTCAGAGTTAACCGTGAAATGTTTCAAATCGCCTCACCCATTGTCTTTTAAATTGCACTTATTTTTAAGTCAATACCATTGGCTACCATATGTCACAGAAATAATTATTTCCATAAATTATCTAAATATATACATTTATTAAAACTATTTCCTATATAAAGCCAATAATCAAGCATAGCATAAACCTGGAATGACTGCAAAATATTAGGTAGTGGGATTAATAATGAAATAACAGCAGCTAATTTTATTGCTGGTGTACAGCATGCCAAATATAGTTGTAGGCACTGTAGTAATTAATTAACTCTTCAAAGCAAGCCTGTGAGAACAGGAAATAGTAACTTCATTGTATGGGTGACAAAATTGAGGAACATACTTGTCCCAGGTCACCTAGCTGCTACCTACAAGACTTCAGACTTGGATCCTTCCCTCCCCCGGACTCTGTGGCTCCATAATCCATACTATTGTCCACAGGTACTACTGTCATGTATCCTCAGAGTGCCATTTGAAAGGGACAGAACATAACTTCTTATCAGTGCAACTATGTAGGTTCACAAATTGGACTCTATAAAAGACAGGTCTCCTTGTGGCACCAGACTGTCTGTTGCCATTGTGCTGTGGGCAGAACCTGTAGTGTTTCAGCTGGGGGTATTGTCTGCCAGTCTCAAGGGATGTTGTCATCTGATGAGCTGGGTTTGGGTGCTAAGCTGCAGGCTGGTGTCCTGCTTCACTGTGAGTGGAGCACTGAGCTCAAGGGATTGAAATAGGATAGTTCCATATGTTAAAAGTGACTTCAGGGCACATAGTTCTGTTTTAAAAAGGTAACTCTCACATCTGCACTGGCCCTGGGACCAAACCTGCTGGCTCCACGTGTTAATTTCCTTGATCATGTGGACTCTTGTCTCTCTTCTTGTGATCCCTATTTTGAGAGTGTCCCTTCTTTCTTTGCCCCTACTTTCCCCCCTGAGGAAAGAACTCTGCTTTTCACATACTGTTCCTAATCATAACTCTCCTCTAATCCAAGGGGTGCTGTTTTCCTCTGGCTTTCCTGGCTGCACAATACATATGTGTCTTTGGTCAGTGGCTTCCTATTGTGCTGTGAATTTTAGTGGCGTTGTTTAACAGTACTTTGTTTTCTAAGTATGTGTCTGGTTTGACTAATTTATGGTTTTGCTAGTTTATGCTTACCAATGGCTAATCTTCCTTCTGTACTTTATCCTGGATATTTTGGAGGTTTTTCCTTCATTACTGCAGTGCTGGCTTCATATATTACTGGTAGTTTTTTTCTCCTTTTTATTCTTGTTTTCCTATTATATCTTTTCAAATATCCTCTGTATTTTGTGTAGTTTAATTTAGTGAAAAGTGGACCAAGTCTTTTTACTAAATATATTTGAAATATTGAATACATCAAGGAGAACTTAAGAGATGGGGAAAATGTTATAAATTTAAAAAAAAATAGATTTAAACTATTTAAAATGCTAAATAGGACAGCAACCAACTGTGCTTCATCTTTGTTTTCCACTGCTGGTAGGAAATTTTTTTTACTTAGGTTAAGCAAAACCTATAAATCATTGACTTGATCTGAAGAACTATTTCCTGGATTTTTCTCCCCACCTTTCTTCTTATCCCTTTTCCATGTATTCCATGCCCTCTAGACGACAGTCCCTTCCTTTAATCTAAGATGCTACCAATGTTGCCACCTGTTCTCTGGTCATCTTTGGATGACTATTAGTGATATAATGGCAGTTTCTTTTATAGTTGATTTGTCTTGAGCAATTAAGGAAGAATACAGTATCTAACTCTCCAAACTTAAATCTAGAATGATACTACTAATTGACTGCCTAGAAACTGTGTTGTTTACCTGTAACATTTTTTTGTTAGTACATGATTGCCGTAAAGAATGATGACATTTATGGTGAGGAATTGGTACATGTACATAACACATCTTAATTCTTTTGCTGTATGCTGCCCCTTGCTCCATCCAACTCTTGATCCCCTTCCCATTTATAAAAGCTCTATTTTCATTTTTCTTTCTTCAGTTCTTTTTTTATCCATCCCCTCTCCCATCACTTGTTAACCCATCCATTTGAAAGACGTCTCCGTACTTCCTATTTATTATTCATATATATATATATATATATATATATATATATATATGAAAATACATGTTTCTCAAAGTAGGATTTATAGATTCTGCCATAAATAAAGATCAACTTGAGGCATTTGTAGGTAAATAAAGGACCTTGAGGCCAAAATGTTAAGTGAAGTACATATAACTTTTACATTTCTAACTCTGACTGCCTGGCAGCTATATTATTTAAATGTAATTTTTATATTACTAATTCGCTCACTAACTCTGCCGTGTAAGTATTAGTGTTCTCACTCTGCAATTGAGGATACTGAGTCGCGGGGTATATATGTGAGCAGCAGGAGTTGTAGCTTCCTTGCACTTGTCTCACTTCAAAACCTACAGTATTCTACTCTTCATGTGTGGTACAGTTTGTTTGTTTGGCATTGCTGGAGCTCAAACCCCAGACCTTACACATGCAGGACAGGTGCTCTACCTCAAAGTCCTGTCCCCAGGATTCCAGTCTATTTTAGCATAGAGGATTTGCTGATGACGTGTTTTCCCCTCCAAGACAAATTTTTGGGATACCCTAGACATTGTGCCATTACATACTTCCCTTGAGAGTAAGAAAAGATTTGCAGAATTTTTGATACACATTTTTAGTGAGTTATACTTGATGAGTGCTGAACTCATGTTAAAGGGTACTTTTTGTCAGTAGGATGGACATAATTTACCATCTTTCTAAGATACAGCTTGTTCTGCAGAAACACTGTAAAAATAGTGATGTGTAAATATTTACAGAATGTCACCCCAAAGTGACAGTCTCATAATGGTCTTCATTTGCATCCTCCTGCTTTCATCATCTTTATGGTCAAGTACTGTGTAGTACTCGCAGAGGGATCTTTGATACAGTGCTGTGGATTCAGAGCTCCATGAGATGTCAGGGATTTCCCCTGGGCATCTCAGAATGGAAAGTTGTTTATCTTTCCACATCTTTTGAAAGGATTCTGGGGCTCTTGGCCCAGGGGTAAGAACTAACTTTACTTCTAAAGTGTTTAAGTTTATTTTGATCCTAAGTTTAGTTAAGGAATGAGGCATACAAGGGGGAGAGACAGTATACAAAGAGATCCACATGTCACCAAATGGAGAATCTAGTCTGTTTTGGGGATTTTAGCTGAGTTCAGGATAGTTGAGGTTTGATTCTGTTTACACTTGGCTAACCACTACTTCCTGTTTCTAAAGAAAAGAACCTTAACAAGATTTGGACATGACCCATACAAATGTTTTGTAAGAGGGAAGTGTAAATGAGTTGGAACTGTTTCCAGATTAGATTTCCCTGAAAATACCCTTGGGCTTGAAGAGTGAAGGGAGAGTACTTGGCAAGGGCGGTGTGGTCCTGTGAGCAGCTGGGACACTTTGCCAGGCCCATGATGGCCACCAGATTGCACTCTTTTCAGTATCTGGAGCTTTACTGTACTGTTCTGGGTTTGCTCTGATTTGTTGCAGTTTAGAAACTCAGTCTTTCCTGCCTGTGTTAACTCAATTCTGCCTCTGTACTGTTTTTTGTTTTTGAAGCAAATTTTAAGAGTTTGTCCTATAAGTAAACAGTAGTATGCTATTAGGGTTTTTAGCTGCAAATGTTTTATTTATTTTGGAAAATTCACTTAGGTCCATGGTATACTTTTATTTTAGTCTCTCAGAGGACTTACAGGAGATTGAAGGGACATTCATGTTGCATTTGAGATTTAGTGGTTGGCATTTGAACCAAATAATTCATTGTCATCATCCATATCAAGTTTAAATGGAAAATATCTCTTTAATGAACATATGCTACTTTTGTAATTAGAAAGAAGCTCATAAACATTTATGAAAATGAAGGAATATCCCAGTCATAGTAGATTGTCCTCATGCATCAAGTAAAAAATGTTACTCACCTCTGAATTTATCTTTCTGGTTTTTGTAGGTGTCTGTCACTAAGACTGACCGAGAACTGGGATTTGCCATTCAAACATGCTTTATATCTCCATCTTCACACCCTGATAGGATGTCTGATTACACCATCATTGAGAACATTTGTCCTAAAGATGAATCTGTGAAATTCTATAGTACCAAGAAAGTATACTTTCCTCTCCCACAAGCTGAGATGGATAAGAAGAGATTCAGCTTTATTTTTAAGTCTATGTTCAACACCTCACTGCTCTTCCTCCAGTGTGAGGTGACACTATGTACCAAGAAGGACAAGGGCCATCAGAAATTGCCTAAGGTATGTGGACTCCCATCCACAGGGACTGGTTTTTTGGCATTGTTATACAAGGCAGTGACCTGGGGGAAGTTGATTTCCAAATTACTATATGTTGGGGACCACAAATTCACAGTGACTAATTTTGCACACTTCCCTAAGGAATAAAGGGAGGCTTGGGATTATGGTATCACTCTATTAAAGGTCGAAGTTTTCTGCCCTGGAACTGCCCAATTGAAGTAATAAAGTCAGCGTGAGCAGTGTGAGTTTTATGGAGTCTTAGAGAATAAATCTTAATGGCACGATTTTTCTCTTTGCATGTGTGCTACTTAGAAGTAGCTTATAAGTGATAAATCAGTACTGTTTTCCATTGAGGGAGAGGCCTGGTTTTATCTGTGCTAGCCAGCTACTGTGCAGTGCCAGAATGGCAGCAAGCTGAAAGGGTGAGTTCCTTGGGAGGGTTAATTTTCCAGGTCCTGCTGAGACTTGGATTGCAGTAGCTTTTTGACTTCTGTATGAATTATAAGGTTGACTTGTCTCAGAAAGATTTCTAAGAGAAGCTAACTAATATTTTAGCTTTTCTCAGTTTGTCCTGTTTGTCTCACATCACCTCCCCTTCACTTGCCATAACAGAACCCTTTGGCCTTGCTGGCCTGCTACTGCAGGTATTCCACAAGGTTATTTATGATACCTCATTTGGCCTTTTCGTGTGAAAGGAATCTTCTGTTATAACTGTTTTTGTGACCTGCATAATTATGTGTGATTTCCTATGTGCATTTCTGTGGTAGGTATCACATGCAGTATGAACTAATTTTTCATTCTTTTGTAGGCACTTACCAATTTCAAAGGTTAAGAATCAAGCTATAACATTAATAATATAGAATTCTCTCATTTAATATATAGGCTGTAAGAAATACATGTAGATGTAGAAGAAAAAATCATTTTCTACTAGATTACCATTGATCTGAGCACATTATATTTCTTTAGGCCTCCATTTCTTTGAGAATTTTGTCTACCTGTGAAAACATACAAATCATAATCATTAGGGTACACATGCAAGGTGACTTAGACTATATTTGTTTCATTGCTTTTGGATTCATTGATGTCTTAGTTCCATGGACATGTCACCTTCCAGTGGGCATAAAGGTGAGGGCTTAGTGGACAGTGATAGAGGACCATGAGGAACTGAGTGCTTGGCTGTGGGACTGAGCTGTTTCCTCCGAGCAGAAAGACAACTTTTAGAAGTCAGAGATTTTGGAGAGGAGGCCCTTAGCAGGGATCCAGGTTGGTGGCTTTGGCTATTGCCTGTCTGAGTCTGCTGACAGCGTCTAAGCTTCTCAGTGTATTGATCTGTGAAAATTAAACTTAATGTTTCCTTGTAGAACTCTTGCTCAGAGCCCCAGAGGATGACATAATGAGATGTGACCATGAATTTCAGCCCATGCGTTACCTCCAAGACAGGACGTAGCAAAAAGAACATGGGCAGTGACACAGAAGGCCTTCTGCTTGCTTGTGGGATTTAAAACAAGTTCCTTGACCCCTTGTGACCTGTTATGTCCTCATCTATAAGTCATAAATAGTAACACCCAGCTTTCCTCCTGGGTAGAAAAGTGAATGAGAGAGGAGATGTGACGCAGCATAGGTTTCGTGGAGCTATTTCAGCGCTCTCCTCATTTGCTGTATATACGTAGTATTTCCATATTTCTAGTGACCTCTGAGACTTTTCTGTCACAATAGCCTAAGCACCTTCTAGAAGGAAGTTTCAAAGGTCACTGAATCCAACCCTACCCTTTTTTGATGAAATGGAGGTCTGGAGAGTTAAGTGTCTAGCCCAGGGCCACCCACTGAGATACAAGTAGAGTCATAGACTGTTACTTAACTAACAGGACAGTAAGAGAATGAATATTGGAAAAGTGAAGTAGGGAAATAAAATGCAAATCTTTCTGAAAACCATGAAGAAGGCTTTTATAAAGGCATTTGTCTTGTTTTGGATGGTATTTTGTTGGTTGTCTTCTTGTATGTCTGACTTTTGTATTGTTCAGAGCAGCCAAGACCATTAAGTCTCATGTCTCTGCTCATGTGTGATTGGGAGAGCTGGACCTTAATTAGCTATTTTGGGGTGCCTCCCATAGAATTGTTGAATGATTGGCAAATGGGTGTCATTTAGAATGTCATCCTTTGATAAGCATTGACAAGGAGCTAGAGTTATTTTAGAGGAAAAGGTACTGGAGTGTGGTCATACTTTTTCCAGGTATCGTGAACCCCAGGCATGCTCCTTATATGCTTAGAAGCAGCTGATCTCATGGCCTGCACACCGTAGGACCTGAAATGAAAAGCAGAAGGCCAGGGTGGGGATGTGACTCAGTGGTATAGCACATACTTAGCATGTGCAAAGGGCCTGGGTTCAATTCCCAGCACCAAAACAAATAACCAAAAAGCAAGATGGCCTTAGAAAGTTTTATTTAGCAAAGCCTATTCCAGGATTTAAAAAATCAAGACAAACTTGATGGCATGATTATCTTTTTGTACAACAAATGTAAAATTTGTCACCTTCATAATGTAAAACATGAAGTTTACCACAATCATAAATGATAATTACAATTTACACATACCATTTATATGAAGCCAGTTTGGTGAAAAGCTAATATTAGTCACATAGCTCCTCCTATTTTTCAAACTAATCTAAAACTTGTAGAGAAGAAGGATGGGGAGGCCAGTATTTATAAGCCACCCAAGGAGATTTGCACCTTCCAGTGCAGCTGAAGATGCCCTAGACCTGCCATGATAGCTCCCTGATTAAGATTCTTTGAAAACCACAAATCTCCTGTTATACTGTGGCACACAGCTGTGAGCTGTCTGATGTGGGGTCACAAGTTAAATGTACAGGCCTAGCTGGTGAGGCTTTTTCAAGGGACTTCTGACACTGTGCTTTGCCCTGCCTCTGCAGTGTGTGTCTCCCGATGAAGCCTGTACCTCATTGGATGCTGCCATGATCTGGGCCATGATGCAAAACAAGAGGACATTTATCAAGCCGCTGGCCGTGATCTACCAAGCACTACCTAAAGGTGAGTCAGGGTATAAGGGCCTCAGGGCTCTTCTGACAAAGATCTCATACTATAAATCAAGGTCTACTTTTATTCAAAAGATCTGTTCGTAGCCTTAAAAAAAGGATTCTTTGTCCAATGAGTCTTTTAGGTAGTATTCCTTCTGCCATTGTGAGTTGTGATACCTTTGCAAATTATTTCTTTAAAATACTAGACCGGGGTCAGGGTTGTCTCTGGAAGCAGTTTACCAATAGCAGCAACTACCTTGTACTTCATCTGTTACTCATACCTCTTTTGAGAGTGGTAATTCTGTTGTAATGCCACTTTCATGTTCAAATATGCTTCCATGAGTGTGCAAGAAGTGGTTAAAGCTGTCTGTAGTTTACTGATACTTGCACACAGTCCATGGCCCATCTTTCTGTGATCTACTGCTAATAGTGTAGGCTATAAGTTTCTATAATGCTTTCAAAACCACAGATGCCTTTGAGAGGATGTAATGGGAATATGTCCATCTTAGGTGTTAGAGCAAGGTGATTAAGAACCATTGCCTAAATGCATGTAATAGTTCAGTTTTCAGAATTTTACACAATTGTTTATTACTTGAAGCCAACAGGCCTCTTCCTACTTGGGCAGGAACATTTGTACCTTCTAGGACAAAAGGAACGAAGTGCCCTGACAAGTGTGGTGTCAGGACCTGGGAGGACAGGCAGGGCAGAGCCAGATCTGGCATAGGCTTGATAGGCCAGTTGATATCCAGGTAATTACAGTGTCCCTGTCTAGAAGCAACCTGCACTCTCCAGAAGCAATGCTGTCTAAGGGTGTGAAGCCGAGAGAAGACTGGGTGCCTGAAAGTGGATTTTATGCTGCCAGGGTGAGATATTCCAGGGCTGGGAGCTACAGGCCACCTCCCCCACCCTGAGGACTGAAAGGAGCCAGTGAACAGCCTGGTTCTAGCTGCTTAGCATATTAGCAGGGAGACCTGCTGACTGCTGCTGACATCAGATTTAGGGTTGGGGGCCACCCTGGGATGCACTTGTGATCTAAGCATTGTTGGATTGGGATGTGGTAAGCCTAGACAGGGGACATGGCTCTGGAGCGGAAAAGACCAACCAGAACAGAAGTGTGTGGGTCCTGGTGGTTTCTTGTTTGGCTGAGTGAGCTTTGTAAGGGCAGCTGTGCTGTCCTCCTTGTTGTATCTGGCTCTAGTAGCTTCTCCCCCACAGGGGCAAGGTCACCATGAGAGGTAGGTGAATGTAGGGGTAGGACATGGGCCCCAGGCCGAGAGCCTGCAATTCTGCTCTTGGCTTTCCCACTGACTGTGAGACCCCAGAGTGCTCATTCACCTCTTTGGGTTTATTTTCATCACCTGGAAAGGAGGAGTTTGGCCCAAATGACTTCCATTGCCCGCTCAGCTGCAGCACGCATCTGTGCCATTGGAAGGAGCAAAATAAATAATTCATTTCCCAGCCATCCTAAAGTTGTTATGAGAGGACAGATTAGGTGTTTAGTAGTTCCTCAGCAATGTTTTTTGTTGTTGTTTTACTTTCGTTGTTGGTTTTCAATCATCTGAAAGTGATAACATAACGGCTTGCTCCAATACTAGTTCCTTTTTCTTGGATTCAGGTGAAATAAGAATAAATTAATCGTGTTGCAAAAGAGTCACAGTTGGGCCACAGCTGGCTCTATTTTTTAGGGTGGGAGCAGTTTACCAATAACAGCAACTACCTTGTACTCCATCTGTTACTTGTACCTCTTCTGAGCGAGGTAATTCTGCAGTAATTGAAGGCTTACTTTTTCCCGTGCCAGACAATAATTACCCATTAATACTGCAGGAGTATAACTTCCAGCAATTCATTCATTCTTTTAATTCTAGCAGCTTTTTTTTTAGTAATTTCTCTTGTAAACTAGGTAATAACTTTTATTCAAACTTCATATAATTATACTGAAAGTTTTTTTTACATAAAAGTTCAGGAGGAAAGTTTCACCAAGTATCACAGCAATTTCTTGAGATTTGCTGAGGCTAGATTTTAGAGGAGAAGCACGTGGGTGAAGAAAGTTTATTGCTTACTGTTTGTTAAATTGAGAAAGTTAAACTTTAGGCTAGCTTCCCAGGGGCAGTGTACAGATTCACGGCCTAACTGCACTGAATGGATAGGGTTTTTGGCAGTTTTCAACTCTGTGAGGGCTCCTCTCACCTTTTATATTTATTTTCTTTGACTCTAAAATCATTTCAGTACAGAACATTGGAATCTGTACTTCCTCTTTACAGGGAATAGGTTATTTGTAAAGGGAAAGTGACCATTTTCCTAATAGCATTGGCTTATTTGAATAATAAATGGGTTATGAGTATTCTCCTGCGGAGCAGGCAGATCACATATTGAGATTAAGTTTTGGGGTAAAATTTCCCCAATCCCCAGGAAATGCTTCACTAGCCTATGCTACATTGGTGCCTTTCAAAGGCCATGCCAAAACTCCAGTGCTCCCTGCCCACTTGGTTCATCTTATTTTTAAACTGGTAGGTTTTGTAGGGTAGCTGATAAAGGCAGAGAGCCAGGCAGAGAAAGTGGTGACCACCGCTGCCAATAACAACATGGACACTGTTCAGGTGGTGTTTTCTTCCCCCAGGGGACAGGAGGAGTAGGTCATTAAGAGTACATAAATAATTTTGGGTTCCTCTTCTAGGGCACTGTTTGTAATGGAACACATCTTTGCCACATTTGATCTCAAGTCCTTTGGGAACCAGTATTCTTTTCCTAAACTTTCAACAGTAAATGAAGGTGCTGGTGGTGGTGATGATGACCCAACATTTATTAAACTTGGTATAGGCTTAAGTTTACTTGGTACAGGATTCTGTGTTAAATGCTTTATGTGGATCATTGTAGTTAATTTTCATGGCACCTCTGTATAGAAAGAGGTTAAATAACCTACCCACTGGCATGCAATCTATAAATGGCAGGTCTGGGATTCAAACCCAGGTCTTTGATCCTACAGCCTGTGTTCTTAAATCCTTTGCCTCATCCCAAGTGCAAGTCCATTCTAGTTTTTGTAGAACTGCCATGAATATAAGCTTCTGTCTGTCATATTCCCCTCCCCGCTTCAGCCCTAATCACATTTCTATTCAAGATATCACCCAAATACTGGGTGAAAGGAGGAATTTTGAAAGGAAGATAAATTTTTTTCAAAGTTGGCCCCCCTAATGGGTTAAGATATTAGGAAATGTGTAAACTATTTAAAAGCGTTTTTTTTTTTTTTTTTAAAGTGTATTAAAGGTCAGAAGTAGTTCTGTGACTTTTGGACTGTAACTCACAAAAACTTGCAGAAAACATGAATAGTTTATGCATTCTATGGTTTATGGCAAAACAATTAAAATACTTGAGGTGGTGCCATCCTACCATATTTTGTGAAATTTTTTGAAGTACAGTCATGCTGGTACTGTTTGCTTTGGATGCTGTACCATTCTTCACAGCATTTGAGAATGGTTGGGCTTATACAAATAAAGATGGTTACACTACATCAGTGATGAATTTAAAAAATGGCAAGAGGAAAGATAATCTTTCCTCTGAAACAGAGTGCACGTATACAAAGAAGTGTGGACATAAAAGAGCAATAAATGTCTTCTTCAAATTTGCTGTGATTCATATGCAATACTTGATTCTTAGCAAGTTAAATGTTTGAAATACTGAATTCTCCAGATTTCCACCACATAACCTTAAAAAATAAAAGCACCTGCATACCATGTGCACTCAGTGAATATTAATTTCCTTTCCTCTCAGCCTCTCAGCCAAACTAGCAGGGTTTTGGGAGGTAGGTAAAGTGGAAGGAAAAATTGTGATTGTCAAATGAAAATTAATCCAAGAGAGACATTACTTTTTGGAAGACACATTTGATTTTTCCAGAACAAAATACTCTAAAGGACCAGCCAACTTTTGTCCTGAAGGTAGAGATGAAGGGAAATAGTGGAAAGATAGTAGAAATATTTCACTGACAGAATAAGGTATTCAGTCTCTATTCAATTGGGAGGGTATTATAGGAATTTTTATTCTTTTATGTGTTTCACAGTTTAGAAACTTTATTTTGGAAAATTTCAAATACATGCAAAAATAGAATGAACCATCATGAGTCTACATCTGAGTTTACCAGCTATCTATTTATGGCAAATTATACTTTATTACTTTCTGTTGCCCATTGAATTATTTGGAAGGAAATCCAGGGAGTAATTTTAAACATCAGTGTACCAGTGTGCATCTCTAAAGGTTACGAACCATCAAAAGATCTCAAGCAAGGTACCAATGATTAGATCACTTAAGATGATGATTCTGAAAGCAATATGAAGATTGGGTTGCTGAACAAATATATACTATTTATGGTTATTTAGTTCACAACAATGTTTGCTGAGCCCCTTTTGCATGTTAGGGTATTAGTGGACAGAGTTTCCTATCTTTAAGACCTTTCCAGTCTAGTGGAATGTTCCTCGATCGCTGTAGTATCAGCATTTGGATTAGGTAGCTCTTTGTTGTTGGAGGCCTGTCCTGTGCATTGTAGAATGTTTACAGCACTCACTAGACACCAATCACAACTCCTCTTGTTGTGACAGCCCATTGTGTCTGTAGCCATTTTGCATTTCCTAAGTCACCCTCAGGTGAGAACCACTGTCTAGTGGCAGGACACACAAGTAGACAGGCCTTTGCAGAGCATGTCACAAATACTGAAAGAGCCCAGAAAAAGAGTTCAAAAACAATGAAGTTAGATTAGCAAAAATGTGTCTTAAATTGGGCCCACACAAGGCCTCCTGAATCTTCAAGAGACTTTCTCTCCCCATCCTTTCCTCTTTGTCAAATGTCAATAAATGTGGTACCAGTTTGACGCCTTGTTTCCCTGGAGGGTTGTTCAGGCCTATATGGTGTTTAGACCTGAACCAAAAAGTGAGGGCCAAAAGATGTGGCTGGTTACTCATGCATAACCCCCAGGAATATAACATTTATGAAAACCATGCCTAACAATGGAGGAAGGAAATTTTGGTTGTAGAGGTAGACCAAAATTTGCTCAGAGTGTATGAAAAGATTTAATTCAGAATGTTGATTATAGCTTATTTTTTCTGCAAAGAAATCTATTAAAATTCTCTTTGCAGTAACATCTAGGATCTCTTTCTTACAATCTTATCCTTAAACCCAAAGTAAATATTGTTATTCCACCCTTTTCCTTTCAGCGTGCCAACTCAATTATAGGGTTCTGATGGAGATGAAACCATTTTAGTTAAGACTCAGGGGTTAGGGGACTTGGGCATGGAAAAGTTACAGGATAAAATTCTTTTAACTTCAGCTCTGCAGCCTGCGCTTGTTCCTGTTTATGTGCAGTCATGAAGAAACTTCACCAGGGAGAAACAACTGTTCCTGGTTAGCTGTCTGAGAAGGCCTCTCCTTGGGGTGGGGAGAGAAGATTAGATCATAAGTCCATTAAGCATTTTAAACCAGTGCCATCCATCACACAGGCCTGGCTATAAAACCTAGATTCTTACATATGAAGTCTCTTTAGGGGAGAATCATCATTTTTAAACCACTTGGGGATTCCGAGTGACAAAGTTGAACCACAGGCCGTCGATTAGATGGAACTCTTCCCAGAAGTGTGTATACTTCTTGCATGATGCACACTATTTAGACCTTTAAATGCCTTTGGCCTTGGTTCAGTGACTCAAACTACTATTTCTTGAAAGTGGGTGAATTTTGTGGTTAGATACCCCTACTTCATAGGGCCTGGAGAATTTAAAATGAAAACCTTAAGTCTATTGGTAAACGTTGTCTATTGGTAAAACACTATACAAATGTAAAAATGTAAGATGTCACCACTGATCCAAGTAAGGTTGATGGGACCAAACTCCCGGGAGACTTTTATTTTGTGGTTACTGTAGGGAGTATGTATTCTACAAACAATCCTTTCTTTCTTCACCCTCTTGGCCTGCTTTATTTTTTTTAAAGATCAACATGCTGCTGCTTTTGGTCAGATTTTCACAAGTTCTTTTTGCTTTCGATCCCTGGTACCGATAAAAAGGAAAAAGAAGGTGTGTGTTTCTTTTTTAGTGAAAGTGGAGATGAAAGAGAGAGGCACTAACTGCTTTTAAACTCTTAAAAAAGGAGGATATTTTTTTCTAGAAAGGGCCAGAGAGAACATTTTCATTTGTGGCACACAGTTCCTCTCTCCAACTGCTCAGTTTTGTTGTCATAAGTGAAAGTAGCCATAGATAGTATGTTCAGTGGGGCTATGGCCACATCGAACTTCATTTTGGGTTGAATTTGAATTTCATGAAAGTTTTCATGTATTTGTCATGAAATGGTTATCTCGGGCCAGATGTGGTAGCACATGCCTGTAATCTCAGCTCTCAGGAGGTGGAAGCAGGAGGATTTCCAGGTGTTGGGGCCAGGCTGGGCTACATAGTGAGTTTAAGGCCAGCCTGAATTATAGAGCATGATCTTGTCTAAAAAAAAAATCATCTTCTTTTGATTTTTAGGAAATTATTTCAAAATGTAAAATCCAACTGTTAGCTCATGGGCTATAATGTCCTGGCCCCAGTCTATGCTGTGTTCACTGTGCACAAGAAGTAACTTAGTGGTCCCTGGCTAAGGACAGGCAGAGTGACACTCTCAGCCCTAGTCACTCAGCCTACAAGGCAGGAGTGGTTCAATCCCTGCCCTGATGTTTTCCAGCTGTGACCTTAATAGTGATAAAAATTCTTTCCTTGCCTCCCTCACAGTTCTGAAGTAAACCCCAAATGAAATCTTGGCTGGGTAGCACTTTAGGAACATGAAGCATTGTAGAAATATTGAGGTGTACAAGCTTTTTAATAGTCTTGTTTCCTTCTTTTTCAAAAAGTACATCAACATTTTAATTGCTTTTCACCAAAGATTTCTGGAAGGACTGTTGTACACCAGCCTGGGCCTTGAGGATCTGTAGATGAGTAAGAACCAGACCTTGCCCAACAAACCCAGCAAATTAGGCCCTGATGTGACACAGATGTAACAGAAGAGGGGTGAATTGAATGAGGTGGGAGAGACCAGCCCTGCTGGGGTGACTGGAGCTGGAGAAGGGGAGGGAAGCTCCCAGCAAACACTGCCAACAAAGCTTGTTAAGGGGAAGAAGGGATAATGAGGTGGAGCATCATGGGTAACTTGGGGAGACTAAATAAATTACAGGTAGCCCAGCATGGGTAAAATAACCCTCAGGAAAGCAGGCAGGGAATACTTTGTACCTGATGCTGAACAGTTTGGGTTTTTCCCTCCTCTAAACAAAGAGGAGTCATTATGGGGCTTAATTGGAGCAATACATGATCAGCTCTGAACTCTAGAAAATTCACTCTGCGGGCAGATGTGGAGGATGAAATATTTGTGGGGGATTGGTAGTAGTGGAGGAAGGGAGATTTCTGCGATAATTAGATGAGTGATGAAAGACCTGAGCTATAGGACAGTAGCATTCAAAGGACAGAAGAATAAAGATACAAAATCTGTGAATTCTTAACAGAATATTTTAAAAATAGAATAATATTGTGAATACAGCAGAAGCATGATATTAAAGGTATTAGATCCTTTTGAATGTAAATATAAAGGTGCACACATATACAGTTCTGCCTAAGTTTAGGTGCTTGCCTTCATATTTTCTTCAAGTTGGAAAGCTTCTAAAGATCAATCATTAGTAAACTACAGTGCCTAAAATTTCTGGGTAACCCACATTACAGTTTTGATTTCTAAAGATGATCTTTGTGTCTTCACAACCTTATTAACAAATCACCTGATATGTAAATATTAACAAATACAAAATGTCAACTTCTGCAGAGATTTTAATGACCTTTTGCTTAAACCTTGGATTCTGCATGGAATGCATTATGACTTATGCTTTTGTTTCAGAAAAAATTCCAAGCATTAAGGAGCCAAATCCAGTTCCTCCACGTAAGTCTTTATGCAACTCTTTCAAAATAAAGCCTCCTGGGCTTTTATAGGATGGAGTTGGTTAGTGAATACTTGCCAAACTTTGAGTTTTGATAAGGAGACTTCTGCTCTCATTCTCTTTTCTTCTTCCTTTTTTTTTTTTTTTCTATTTTATTTTTTCCTTTCCTCTGGCCTTCCTTCATCCATTTCTTTCTTTTTTCCTCTCCCTATTTGACATTTCAAAATATTAATTTGTTATCCCACTGGCAATATGACATGAATGGGAACGTGGTAAACTTAGTTTTAGAGAATTTTTATTCACCTGCTTGTATCCGTTGTGATCCAAAAACATTAACATACGGTTGTGGCTTACTTTAAGTGGTGGCAATAGTACTTGCCTGCTCAGTGAACTAGTGCTAAGAGATCTAGTTGCAGTATGTTCAAGACCATCTCTAGTCCAAGGAATCTATAGTTTTTAGGTTTTTTTTTTCCAGACAGATTGCAATAATAATAATAATAATGATAATAGAACAATACCAATTACTACAGAATGAGTTTAAAATTGTATATGTTATTTTCATCATTTTGTGCAGAACAGCTAAGAAATATTTTAGTGAGTTGCCTCATCATTGGCATGGGGCATAATTCCACCCTGGCTTCTCACCCAAAGTTCTTCTAGATAATTTGACTTTGCTAGAAGAATCTATGCTTTTTCTTCTCCTTCTCTGAGATTCCCAAGATGAGTCTCTAGACTGAGCCCATCACACATATGTAACAATCAGTCTGGAGAGTGATTATATTCCCTTCCCCCAGTAGATTATTTTAATAAGATATGGGACAGTATTGTGATCTCAGAAAGACAGAACCATGTGGATACACATTGTCTCATACCTAATCTAATTTTCATAAGTGATGTTTCCATCTTTGGAATTTTAAAATGTTTTCACTAAAAAAATTATAATCATGTTTCATCTGTACATCTGTAAGCATAAAAAGTCAAGTTGCCTTTTAATATCTGCCTCAGGGACTGGATTAAATAGTTCACAGTAACCTCCATAGATGTTTACCCAGTTCATATTCCCCCTAAGGGATCCTCCTCTATTTCACAATCTTATTTTATATATCTTCTACCTCTAGTAGGTAACGTAATCCTTTTTTTTCACAATTTAAATGAGCATAACAAAGGACACAGGAAGAATGATGATCAGAAATGGGAGTTTGGATCCTTCCTTTTTCCACTGTAACATACTTTCCCAAGCCTTTTGGAGTGCTGGGGCTGTTCAGGGGTCATGTTTTTCTACAACTCAATCTTGTAGATCAATGTGAACTGAAAAGTAAAAAGATTCAATTTATGCAGAGATCAGCTGGCGTTGATTCTGACTGGAGTGGAAAGCGCAGGTAGAATCTAATAGTGAGGACATCTTAGACCTTCAGTTTGTGTTAAAAAAAAACCTTCAAATTTTTATTCCACTGTCTCCCGTAGAAACTGATTTCAACTTTTTATAAGCGACTCAAAGATAATCTTAAACAAAAGGAAATATCTTATTTCTGTGGTCTGGAATTAATTTCACATATAAAAATCTTTGCCAAATGGACGAACAATTGATTCTATTTATGTATGTTTTGCTGAGCATGAAACTGACGTCACTGTCCACTGAGAAGTAATTTCTGTTCCCCTCATAGAAAGATCACAGTTGGAAAAGTGTTAAAAAGCTTTTGCTACATAGTTGTTAAGATTGGGGGTTTATTAACTCAATAGTTATTCTATTATTTTGATATGAGTTTTGTTTTACCTTTTTTCCATAAAATAAAAAAAAAATTGAGGGTTTAATCAGTAAAATGTTATAATGCACAGGAATAGTTTGTTCTGTTTTCTTATCTACTTTTATCTGTCATACTTTTAAATGTTAAGAAAATAGTGTGTATAATATATATATTTTCTGTGCCATATGTTTCATTGTTGGAGGTGTTCAGTGAAAAAGCATCAATCAATCACATTTTGACAATGGAAGTTCATTATATCTTGCAAGACATTTTAACCTGTGGTTGCCCTCTATTCAAATAGTAGGCCCTCAGATAGGGGCACTGAGACCACAGGTTTTTAAAATTAATTTGTTGTTTGAAATAAGTTGCAAACTGAAAAAATTTGCAAAGCTATAATTTTTCCTTTGACCAAAAATTCGCAAGTAACAAAGTACAGTGTATTTTATTGGGACTCTTATTACAGTCTCAGATTTTATTAGCCAAGGCTAAGCTTTTATGACAGTGTGTGTAAAATAAATATAAAATTGCTATATATGATGCAGACTAACTTAAAGTATGTGTATTGGTTTCCCTGTTTTATAGAAATTTTCCATGGTCTGGACACCCTAACTGTGATGGGTATTGCATTTGCAGCATTTGTGATTGGAGCACTCTTGACAGGGGCCTTGTGGTACATCTATTCCCATACAGGTTAGTGCAACTGCTCACTGTTGCTTGGTGCACGCCCTGTGTGCTTGCCACTAAGTAGACACTTAGTGTTTCATTGGATGAATGAATGAAATGGATGAGTGAAAGAAAGTTCATCCCCACTATTTTTACCTTTATGTGTTTGGCATAAATTGCATTTGTAAAAATCTAATTTGCTTTAAGTAGTGGTAGAAAAGTGATACGTAGACTGTGTTCATTACAGTGGTGATGTTGGTGATATTTAGCTTCTAATGAAGCTATTTTGTCATTAAAGTTTAAAGAAAGTTAATGTAAACTGGAAATATAAGCCATTTGTCCAAAGCTAGACTTTAGAATACTTCTAAATGTGCAGTAAGTGACAAAGGATGCCCAGAATACTTAACCACGCCTGAAGTGTTGAACACTGTCCCTACTTAGTAACTTAAGCCAGAATTTCTCGATCCTTTGATAAGTGTAAAGCTCTCATATCTTTCTATAAAGTTATTTAAATTTTCAAAATGTGTATTCATGAATTGAAGAAAAATAAAAGTATTGCAATAAAGCATTTTGTTCTTTAAGCTATATTCCCTCAACCCTGATTGTGATGTGCCCTGGCACCCTCCTTCCCCTACCCTAGAGAGTATCCTACCTTAGAGAGGTCAAAACTCATAGGCCAGAACTGACAGCCTGTTCTGACACAGTAGAGAATACAGGCCCAGTGGGTGTAGGAGGTTTGGGTGGGTGGGGCTCTTAAACTTTGGTGTGGAAGGAACCTGTGGATTGCCTTGTGTTGCTTCTTAATTTCTCTGCAAATATGGGAAAAAAGAGTGTGTATTTTGTTTATGAATACTTGTTGTATATGCTACAAACCTGGGCAAATGCTGATCGATGAGAGGTAAGGGGCAGGTCTAGCCTGTGATTAGAACTTCATTTCACTCTTCATTGAACCAAAGAATGCTATGATCTTTTGTGTCACCTTCGGCTGTTCAAGTGACCCAGCTGAAAGGGTGACCAGTTAAAGGCCAGACAGCCATCAGAGGACATCTTGAGGCATGATATCTTAGTTCTCTTGATAGCTAGAAGAAACCTCTAATTGTTGAGAGAGACAAAGAGAAAAAAATAAAAATAAAAAACACATGACCCAGAGATCTTGTGTTCGTGGAAAAAATCTCAGACTTTTCTTTTTTTTTCTTTTCTTTTACTTTTAATACTGTATCCATGGCTAAAGTATCTGTGACACAAAGGGAGGAGCAAACTCTTGTGCCTGGCATAGAAAATTCATCTAATAAGCTAACATCTTGGCAAAAGTTCAGCAGAATTTAATAGTGGGGCTTTGAGTCTTCAAATTGTTGTTCCTTTTAGGCAACCTTTGAGTGAAATATGTTTCATATCACAGAGAAAATAAGACCCTTAAGTGTAATGATTCTCAGTATTACATAAACATCTATGAATCAGTTTAGGAGTATGCTTCCTCATGAGCAGTTTATAAAAGGACCAGAAGGGACAGCTTTTAGCAGAGTAGAATTTTTAATGTAAGTAATTTTAATCACAGGAATACTGACATGTTCAGATCTCAAACTAATAGGTCTTCAAAACTTTTTCCAATCCGTTGTGTGGCTGAGAAGTCCTAGGACCTTTGGCAACCTCTGTTGTCTATTGGGAATGAAGCTAAAAGCACTCTAAGAAAACTGAATAGTTCCAGGATTTTACACGGTGGCAGTCACCCCACACAGCTTCCATGTGTCTGACCAGCCATTGAGTAGCCTTAGTTACAGCTGACTATGTGCCAGGAAGCCAGGTCTAGGCCGAATGAAGAGCAGCCAAATAGTACCTGCTATGAGACCACACTCCACTGAATCCCCACTCCTCCACAATCCTGGACTCCTGTCCACAGCTAAGTGCACAAATCTGATAAAAAACAAAGCTTGGTTTACGGCATATGTTTGTGGCTCACCAGCTTGGAGAGTTGTTGTTATTGATCCCCTCTCCTCCACCCAGGGGCTTCAGAAGGAATTTTAGTATTGTCAGTACAGAGATATGTTTGTACATAGATTAAAGAAAAGCCAAGACCCACCAAGTGATGCTTTTTAGCAAAATATGTCAGTTCAAAAAATAAAAAGTTTATAAACATGCTCATATGGGTTTAAAATCTGTTGGTATTACTTATAATATAGCTTCAAAATTTTTTTTTATTCAAAACTGTAGGTTCTGGTTCATTTTACAAACTGCTCACCAGGAGTACCAGGGTCATACAGGTCGATTAAAGAACCAAATGATGTTTCTCTTCAGACCCTTTTGGTTTCTTACCTGGGTCAGCTGGCAGCAAGTTTAGATGAATAGAAAAGGTCTTAATGGAATGGCCAAGAGAAATGGTGAGAACTCAAAAACTGACTTAGTCCACTGGATTTCCACAGTAAGCTAAGTTGTAGGCTCAGACTTTACGTGGTATATTTGGGGGTCCAGGCAGCATCTGCATCTGCATTTGGATGGCTTTCCCTTTCCTCATGTTTTCCATTTTGTCTGCAGCACACAGCACAGCACCAGATTACATGTTCAGACTGTGTATATCCACTTACATACCTGGAATTTGTGTTGGTCTGAAAAGATGGGGACCCAATTTGATAATATAACCTCTGGGCAAATAAGAGATACCTCCATAAGGCAGTATTATTTCTGCCTGGAAGACTTCATTTTGTAAACTTATGTCTCAAAATGGTGCAGACTGAAAAGGTGATTGGGAGTAGAAAGTTGCTGGCTTAGAGCCATAGAAGCTTTATGGTTCTGAGGAGCCTTGCTTCTTCAGGGGACTCTAACTCCTCGTCCATGGACGTCTTTAAAGTCCAAAGCAAAGTTGTGTCTGTTTTTGTAAAGGACACAAAGTATTTTTTTTTTTGAAAAACTTTTTAGATTCATCTCAATAGCTCATGCACATAGTTCAAAGGCCTAAAGAGTTCTATGAGACTTGTTAATGAAAAAAATCAGACCCCGCTTACCTCTTTCCCTTCCCTCCCTCCCTAGAGCACCATCTGTTTACTCTTACCTGATTCTCTTGGCCATTAATCCACTTCTCTAAATAACATGAATGCATTGCTGCTTCTTGATTTTTCCATTTGGAACCTTTGCCATCGGTCTCCTCCAACGGAAAATGAGGGTTTACCTGTCTTTTACACCTGTGCCCTAATCATGTGATAATTCCCTTTTTGCTCTACTTCCCACTTGTCCTGGGAGAATTATACTGAAATTTTGGTTAAGATTCTTATTTACTGTTTAATTATATTATTATGACAACCTAAAGGCTAATCAAAATTTAACCAGATAAGATAATATTTCTTTTAATTTTTCCTGGGGTTAATAGTCATTCCTTTCTCTTCTACCTTCTAGTTAGATTTCTATATATTTATCATTAATTTATTTGCTGACTCTGCCAGTTGTCTTAATTTTCCCTTAATATGTTAAACTGTATTAGGTATTGCACTGATTCATTCCTTTTCATTAGTAGCTCTTTCCTGGAGGCTTCCCCCTACCTGCTTCTATCTGAACTAGTATGTTCTGAAGTCTGGACAATTTTGTCCTGTTTTCTTTTCCATTCTTATTCTAGGGAATCCCTTCATTTTTGAGTCGCAGGTGCCCTATTTCCCATACCTTTCTCCTTCTTGGTTTAAAACTTAGAAAGTGTTTTTTACATCTAACATGTCTGAAAATATGCTGGTGTTGCAGAAATTGTGGATAGTCTGGCAAAGAATGCCTGGTTGTAAATAATTTTCTTTATGAATTTCACAAGCAGACCTCACTGTCTTCTAAATCAAGGCTCATTTCCCTTATATCTGACCTATTTTCTTCTTTCTGGAAGACGTTGTACAGTAAGATCCTTTGACTTATGTGAGCTTTCATACCTTGTGCTGGGCTTTAATTGGGCCCTTTCAGTTTAGAAACTCATGTCCTTCAGTGCTGAGATATTTTAGAATTTATTCTTTTTCTCATCTCCATCTTTCAGTTACCTATTGAGATTTTAATACTATTTTTAAAATTTTAAATTCCAGGAACATTTTTTTTCTGATGAGTTTATTTCCTTAAAAAATGTCCTATGCTTGCCTCTTAGGGTACAGTACCTTAACATAGGATTATTTAAAAAGGGGGAGGTTCTGAGCTTATGGGTAGGACTATGAACTTCCCTAGGATGACGGACAGGGCCTTTTATTCATGAGCTGCTGATGTCACCTCCTTGGGACATTCTTCTTTAATTTTAGAGTTTTCATAAAATAAATCTTTCTGCATCATCCCTTAAAGGTGTACGTCTGGCTGTTGGGAGACCTTTGCAATAGGACTGATTAAAGTAAACTTACATGGCAAAAATTAAATTTTGCAAGTATGTATCAGAAAGCACATACTCAGACGTCCTGGGTAGAACATGATATCATTGGCACCTGTACTTGCTGTGGATAATCAAGCACATAACGTGTTCTGGAGGAAGCAGATTGGTTCACTGCTTCTGGAGACAAGACCATCCTGCTTTGGCTGCTGTCAGGCTAAGCAAGTGAAGCTCAATGGAACCAAACACAGTGAATGTTTTACTTAATGTTTCTTTGGGAGTATGGTTCTCTTACCCTCTGAGACTGTGTGGTCATCATGGAAACCCTGGTCTCGCCCTCTTCCAAGAGTAAACTTCCATAGTCCTCCTGGATACGGGTCCCAGCCCTGTGCAGTGAGAGAGGTGGTTTTGAGAAATCTTACTGCTTCTTACATAGACACTTGCCCAACTCCACTGCTGTTAGCCTTCTAATTACCCTCTCTCCCACAGGGTCATGATGTCATCATTTCCTCACTTTTTGGGAACACTGTCATGTAAATTGCTTCTCAGCTCTTCCCACTGTGCCTTGGGTTTGACTCTTAGGAATGTGCTAAATCAGTTACCATTCTCCCATTCTTCACCAGCTTCTAGAATTTTGTTGTTGTCTCCACTTCCATTGTCTTTGTTTTTGTGGGTCTGTGTCTTCTGCAAATCCATTTACTGTCATTCTGGTGAA